AGTGTTATTACAGGAGGAAACCTAAACTAAACTAACTTTATTTATACTGGATAGTTCTATATCAGTTCTAAACTGTTCTTCCTAGAGGTCCAGTAAGGATCATCTCTTATTGATTCAGTGTTACTACAGAAGGAAACCTGAACTAAACTAACTTTATTTATACTGGATAGTTCTATATCAGTTCTAAACTGTTCTTCCTAGAGGTCCAGTAAGGATCATCTCTTATTGATTCAGTGTTACTACAGGAGGAAACCTGAACTAAACTAACTTTATTTATACTGGATAGCTCTATCAGTTCTAAACTGTTCTTCCTGTAGAGATCCAGTAAGGATCATCTCTTATTTTTTACTTTTTATCATAGGTTGGCTCATTGAAGGAAACAAAAAAGAAATATCAATTGCTGTTAACAATTGAAAAGGTCAGTTCGCTGTCAGTTACATCCGAAGAAAAAAATTCAAAGTGGAACGTTTGGAATTCGGGTTTTATATCGCGTGAGTTTAAAAGAACCTATTTATTAATTTTAGGGATTTGATCAAATACTCCCAATAGAAGACCTGGAACGCATGGTCCTTCAAGTACCACATGACATTCGGTAAGTTACGAGAAGAAGAGATGTGGACCAGGGGCCGTGGTCAGTGTTCGCAAGCACTGCAAGCTGATCAGCTTAACCCAAGGTTAACGTAAAATTCAAAGCAAATTTCCCAAGAGCTTGTTTATAAATTTGGAACTATTTCTTCGGAAGTCTTGTCTGTAGGAGTTGTGATGTTTTGAAATAAACAGACGTGCAGAAATGAATAAACTAAAACGTGGTTTAGCGTTAATTCAGGTTTTAACAACCGACCCAGGCCAAGATGATCTATTTCCCTTCCTTGCAACAAATTTGCAGAATTACTGAATAGAATTGTTCTACCTTTAGACCACAACTACGTGAGAGGCGGGAGAGATTATGTCAACGTTGTTTTGACCTGCTGAACTTAAAACCTCAAAAAGATTCTAATAAAAAGTAAGTGTTATTACGTTTTTTCCTGTAGTATTAACCGAATAGATCAATAAGAGATGATCTGATCCCTACTGGACCTCTAGGAGGAACAGTTTAGAATTGATAGAGCTATCCAGTATAAATAAAGTTAGTTTACTTTAGGTTTCCTCCTGTAGTAACACTGAATCAATAAGAGATGATCCTTACTGGACCTCTAGGAGGAACAGTTTAGAATTGATAGAGCTATCCAGTATAAATAAAGTTAGTTTAGTTTAGGTTTCCTCCTGTAGTAACACTGGATCAATAAGAGATGATCCTTACTGAATCTCTAGGGAGAACAGTTTAGAACTGATAGAGCTATTCAGTATAAATAAAGTTAGCTCGTGATTTTGTTTGACTTGTCGATCAGCTTAGTATTCACCTGCTATAGTTGAATAATTCCTTATATGAAATATGGATTGTTGTAAACGAACGTTGTGGATTGTAATAATCTTTGTCATTTGTTAGATACAATGATGAAACAGTTCTACAAATGCTATCGGTTAGAAAGGGAAAACGGTTTTTGAGTAAAGTTCTTCGCATTGTCAGAGAGGCAAGTGGAACTAAATTGTACTAATTTTTTCTCATAAGAACTCCGTTTTGAAACGCCAGAACTCCGTTTTCAAAAGCCACAACTCAGTTTTCAAATGCCAAAACTCCGTTTTCAAAAGCCAAAACTCAGTTTTCAAATGCCAGAACTCCGTTTTCTAAAGCCAAAACTCAGTTTTCAAATGCCAGAACTTCGTTTTCAAAAGCCAAAACTCCGTTTTCAAATGCCAAAACTCCGTTTTCAAATGCAAGAACTCCGTTTTCAAATGCCAGAACTCCGTTTACAAATGCCAGAACTCCGTTTTCAAATACCAAAACTCCGTTTTCAAAAGCCAAAACTCAGTTTTCAAATGCCAGAACTCCGTTTTCTAAAGCCAAAACTCAGTTTTCAAATGCCAGAACTCCGTTTTCAAAAGCCAAAACTCAGTTTTCAAATGCCAGAACTCCGTTTTCAAATGCCAGAACTCCGTTTTCAAAAGCCAGAACATTTCTTATCAATCCTCCAAAACTTACAATTTACCCATGCAAAATTCCTACTTTGAGTACTTTGAGACTTTGATGGTTGTTGTAACCGTTGTGCATTTTGTATAACACAGGATCAGCGTCACGAGATTGCTCTGGCCGTCACAAGAAACTTACGAATATTTACAAAGAAAGACGTACATCAAGCTGAGACAGATGGTTTATGTGATGACGTTCTGGACGTAATTAGGTTTTCTCCGTGTGAGAAGATAGTCGAACATCATCACAATGTCGTCGACACTGACAGCTCCGTCTTACATTTATTTGGTTGTAAGGTAAGAAATATATCAAATATAGTTTAGTTTAGGTTTCCTCCTGTAGTAACATTGGATCAATAAGAGATGATCCTTACTGGACCTCTAGGAAGAACAGTTTAGAACTGATAGAGCTATCCAGACATCCAGTATAAATAAAGTTAGTTTAGTTTAGGTTTCCTCCTGTAGTAACATTGGATTACTGGGAGATGATCCTTATTGGACCTCTAGGAAGAACATTTTAGAACTGATAGAACTATCCATGCAGTATAAATAAAGTTAGTTTAGTTTAGGTTTCCTCCTGTAGTGATACTGGATCAATAAGAGATGATCCTTACTGGACCTCTAGGAAGAACAGTCTAGAACTGATACAGCTATCCAGTATAAATAAAGTTAGTTTAGTTTAGGTTTCTTCCTGTAGTAACACTGGATCAATAAGAGATGATCCTTTCTGGACCTCTAGGGAAAACAGTTTAGAACTGATAGTAATGTTAGCCTGGTTAGTTAGATGATGATTGTGATTATATTTTATAGTTCACGTTACGAATACTTGTCGTGTTGTTAAAAAGAATGTCTCAACTGTCACAGAATATTGACGAGAATAGTTTACAACTACAGACGTTGTGGTACGTAACGAGTTTTTCGAAACGCTACCGGCTGATTGTATTCAATTAACCTGCAGTTCTATATCATATTGAAAAAATAATATTAAATTATTTTATTTAATTTATTTATGTATAGTATTCTTGTATATATAATTTATCTTCCTAGCTCCTGGAAGTGTTAACAGACCCTGTTGCACTCTAAATTTACTACAGTGGAAGACCCATCTTAAGCGGGCGCGTACCTCGTCTTCCAATTATATCTTTCATAAAATACTATATTATCAATTTATCAATACCTCTATTCAGTTGGGACTATGTCCTGTCTAATCACTTGGAACTAATAGGTCCTGTGCAGCCACCTTTTGCTAAATGTCAATATTCTATCAGTTTGCCATAAAGTGATTAGAAGAAAAAAGAGAAAAAACCCATCTCTATTAAGTGGACAAACGTAACTGATTTACGTAAATATGCTAAATCAAATTTTCATAACAATCAATGGTGAAAATCAATTTGAAGAAAATTCACGAGATACGTATATCTGTTATTGATGTTTTGCAATATTTGTATGCCATATATGTACTAGCGTAACTTGAACTATAATCTCCTAAAAACAAAACAAACTTGTCTTTCTTTAGTTTGTCTTGCAAGCAATTGCAAGAAAAACTGTCTCTTTGAAACTTGAACTCTCAGAAAAGTTCCACAACATAACCAGCAACGGAGCTCCGTTGACATGTTTACCTTTGATTACTACTGTTCCTAAATTACTTGGGCGTTACCTCCTGATGTGTTTACTGTTGCAAACACCTATTAAGAAGACACTCCTTTCAAGCAGACATATTGGTGAGGTGCCAAAGTCCGCTTGAAATGGGGTTCGACTATAAAAGCTACCAATGGATTAAATTATGTTTTGTTCTATTTTTTCAAGGGTTTCGTTTCTATCTGTTGTCTGTCGAGACTTTGTGACGTCCTCTCCCAAAACGTTGGTCAAGAATTATAATGACGTCCAAAATATTGTTGATGTGTTAAGTTGTAGTGTTGATGACGACAAATTACAGATTATAAAGGAACATTTCAGGTAAGTTTGATAATCTGTGGTGGTAATGGGGACCATTTTTTGCATTATAGACTAAATTTTGATCTCAACACGTCTTGACAAAAATTTCATCACAGCTTGAAAGAGCATCACAAAATTAGTAATATTCCAAAGTTTCGTTGCGAAATGTTGTAAGATGCGGATAATATAGCCTTGCGAAGTTTGCCGTTTTTCAGTCATTTTGTATTACGCACGGGAAATTGACAGCCCCAAAGGGTATTGGGCTATCAATTTCCCCCGCGTAATACAAAATGACTGAAAAACGGCAAACTTCGCAAGGTTATATTATCCGCATTTTAGAACATTTCGCAACGAAACTTTGGAATATTACTAATTTTGTGATGCTCTTTAATTCAAGCCGTGATGAAATTTTTGTCTAGACTTGTTTAGATCAAAATTTAGTCTATAATGCAAATGGTCCATTGTCAGGCCTTGAAATATCGGTCAGAGAACCGTCTGACAAAATATTCGATGACGTTGAGTTTTGGTCGGTTAAATGTATTGATATATGTCCGATGACTTTGAGTTCAGTTTGGCTTGGAAATAAGTATGAATGCAGACACAAATTAATATCAGTACAATTTGGAAAAGTCATTTGAATCTTGGCAATGAATTTCCGAACCCCACGGTGAAAACCCCGCACTTGATTACACATTTCCAGTTTACTTTTTATACATTACTCTGATTCTCCATTTAACATACGAGCCTCTAGTCCTGGACTAGGGTACATTTTGATTGATGTTGGACAAAGTTACAGTTAGGTCGGACACCAATTCACTATTGAGGGTCGGACAAACAATAAACCTCAGTTTCACTTAGGTCGGACAGAATGTCCAGTGGTTTCCTCTCTACGTTGGACAATTTCCGTGACAGACCGATATGTTAAGGCTAGCACTCCTAGCAGTAGTGTTGGTGATAAATATGTTGATGTAAACAAATTAGGGGGCACCTATTAACAGCACGCAGTCTATTCTAAAACTTCACTCATATGATTTCTCCGAAGTCGTGTTTACACTACCAGCTTGGCCTAGCCTTGGCCTGGCCTTGGCCTACATTTTGACAGTGTAAACAGACTTTAGCCTGACCTAGGCCAGGAAATCTGGGCTCACTACAACCGGTGGCCTAGGCCTAGGCTTGTGGAAATGTAAACACTTTCGGTCCTGCCCTGGGCTTGGAGTGTAAACACGACTTTAGGTTCAATCTGAGCTTCCCTTGTGTGTCAGTGCGGTTTTTGAATAGCTGGAGGGTGAGTAGTCACATAGTAAGATACGGGACTAACCCTCCAGCTATTCAAGAACAGCACTGACACTCAAGGGAAGCTCAGATTGAACCTC